TCATTACTTTATTTTAACTCTATAAAATGCTTTATATTATGCTGTACATAATATTTATAATATAAATTGCAATATATAAACCAATATTTTCTATATATTTGTATATATTTTGTAAAATATCAAATAGTTAAAATTTTAGATTTATTGATTAAATATCATTTTTATATAATCATAGACATAGAAAAAAAAAGATTTTATGTAATCATTATTGCATAACTTGACGTATTTCTCGGCGATCTACAAATGAATTTGCGAACCTACATTAATACATAGAAGCCATTTTAAAATTGCATATGGAACGTTCGAATTTCATTACATCTTTGAATTCAATTTCTCCTTTCCCACTTCTTCTCAATAGGCATAAACAGCATAGAAATAATTTTGCTTGAAAAGAACATTTCTTGATGTATCTCGACCAAGGAGTGATAGTCTTTTTTATAGCTTCTTTGACTATCTCTATTGTGACTTTGTTATTTGACGTCTCGTCCTTTTTCGTCAAAGATTCAAGAATTCCCACGGCTCGACTGCATAACAATGTTTGGATAAATAACAGATCACATCAAAAAAGAAAAGAAAAGAGTGGTGATGTTCGACAGACCTGCAAATACACAAAGCATTTCTCGCGTCTTGGGTAATAGAACTAACTTTCCTGGCAGCAAACTCGACAGCTTCATTCGTGAATAAGTTGATCCCCTCAAGTCGCGACCTTATGATGGTGGTCAATTCCGCGTGCGTATACGGCGCAAAAGTGAACCGATCCAAACCTAAGATATCAATCGAATGAGTGGTGAATTTATAAAGTAGCAATGTGTGACAGACGCGTACCCATCCGACTATCACTACTAACAGAAAGCATAGTGACTGGCAAATCAATCCGATTCGTCAAGGCAACCACTATTAAGTGTGAATTCAACAATGTTGTCCAATTCAAGAAGTTATAAATCACTTTGTTTTGCTTATTGACCAGAGAGTCGAATTCATCTATCATTAGTATGCTGCGAAAAGTAATGCATCAAGATGTTTTGTTAGAACAGGTTTGAATAGTTTATTTACTTGAAATCATAATCCAAATTTACATTGGGCTTCGTTTGGACGGTGTGCTAAAAATTTTACTCAATAATGATTCGGCGTCCTTTATTGAAACAAGATCTCCCGTTAATCTTTCCCACACTGCGGTGTATGCCTTCTCGGGAGGTCTCAGTTCCATTCCATTGATTTCGATGAATTTGAAGGAGACCAATTCCTAAGGAACAACAACCTTGGTATCTCAATTATACGTATTGATGTTGAAGAAGCCGTTAATTAGGATAAGTCACCTTTTTTTCTACTTTTTTTTGCAGATTTCTCACAACTTGTCGTACGGTCGCGGTTTTTCCCGTGCCGGGTTGACCGGAGATAACTATTCGAAAGGTTAATTGTCTTGTTAATGGGAAAGTTTTTGTATAATTTAGATTAAAAAGAACTTGCATATTCGATGTCCCGAAAATTGTTCGATGGCCGATTTTATCTTGTCGTGAATTAATTTATATTCCTTCTCGCGACACGGCAAGAATTCTGGTACTTCTTCTAAACGCAACATTGATCTGGCACGATCATAACATGATTGAGGTTCATCTGTTGGCTGAAGGCGCAGCGCTAGCGGTGTGATCCGCGAGATCGATTTTACTCTGTTCAAAAAAAAATATAATGAACGATTTCTGATGACTGATCGACGTCTTGACGCGACATCACAAGGTACCTTACTGTACTAGGAGTAGTAACTTCTGCATGCTTTGAAGGTCTGATTGGGGTTCTTACGCGTTGATTGACTTTTCGCTTCCGTTTTCGAGTGGGTGAAAATTCCTCTTCACTCTCAACCTCAGTTTCAGTGCATTCGTCGTCATAGTCGTCATCATCCTCGTACTCTTCATTGTCAAATGCTCTTTTTGCGGATTGCTTTCTAATAGCCATCGCATTTTTCGAGGAACGCTGAAAAAATCCCGATACAAGTTAAAATTATAAATAATTTGGAGAGTGAAATGTCGGTTGGGACTCACGGTCTTCACGCCCATCGTCAAAGTTTAATGATTTTTCTGCATCAATTTTCGAATCGCGTATACCGAAATTCCACTGTTACACTGCATCAGTCAACGATGACATATTACTGACACGTGCTCTTCTGAAGAGCTAACAAGCTTTTGCTTCTTTTATTATTTGAACGTATTATTTTTCTGTTGGCAAATTATACAGTGTGGTTTTGTGTACAATGCACAATGTTAACTGCCTTTAATTCGACTTTCTAGAATTCGATTTTTCAATAATTTGATCACTTGTTAATTCGATCTACTGCATATATTAATTCGATTAATGATTTCTGCGATCTAAATTAAAGATAGATGTCTATAATAAAATCTTAAATCTGTTTTTTAAAAATTAAAACTTTTAAATTTCAAAACTAC